ATGTCTCTACAAAGTTATACAAAACAAAGTTCACGCCCTTCTTATTTAAAAAATACATATATATTTATATATGTATATATAAATCGTTGCATCGAGAAAGAAAATAGTTTTATTTTGAATTGTATTTAATTATATTTCTTATAAAAGGTAAAGATCAATTTGTGGTATGTATTTTGTACTTTCCCTGTTTGTCAATTAGCATTCGATTTAATGCCTAGGAAATGTATCCTATATTAATTGTCTCATAGTCTGCCGGGCCAGTTTTTGGCATTCAATAAAATGCCTAGATATCCTGTAGAATAAGAGCTTTCTTACATTGCCTGCAACGAATGCACTTTTGTATGTGCATTTTCTTATGCAGATGTGCGTGTAGGTAAGGTTACAAGTTTCATAATTAGCCATTCAATAGGTTATATTTTTGCATTTTCTTATTCAAGAATAGCGCTTAAAATTTTTACATCAAACAGAATGAACGATGAAACTTGCATTGTTAAGCTACCAAGCATCTTCAATTCAAAATGCTCATAACATTTATTTTCTTTCGGTTTGAGCTAAAAATAGAACAAATCGCGTAAGCCTTTCACAATACTAGCGCACTTTAACATGCTAGTTAACGAGAAATATTTCCTTTCATGCCAGGCGTGAAAAGGAGATTTTTATTTGTATGCCATCCCTGGAGAGAAAAATATTCGAAATTGGATGCCCTCACGCATTTTATTTCAATGTTCGAAGATGTTCCATTTGCGCCTCTGTAAACTGAGGAGTTTTATAAAGGCTTTTCGGAATGGTACAGGTATGCAAAATGCGTGTGTTTCTTCTAAGAGTTATTGGGGAATATTTTCGTGGAATAAAATTTTAGCTTTAAGAAATAGTTTTCCATTGAAATGGAAATCCTTTTTTTCAACATTTTATTGTCTGGAAGGTTTTGTATTCGTATCATTTAAAATCCCTGTGTTTTAAAATCCGATTTCTCTCTAAATTGCTAAGTATTATTTTCACATTTTCGTTTTCGGTCATAAAGTGAAATGCAGTAGCGAACGAAACGTCGAGCTTAAATTCTCTGCAGAAATTTTAATTTCTTTGAAAAAGAATTAAAAATATTTTAAAATAAAAATGAAAAGATTCATACTTAAATTATGATCATCTGTTATTTTATCATTTTAGTACCAGTGTTTTTTAAATAATACTAATTATTTTTTATTCCATATAATATGAGCATAATTAAATGCAAATTATACTGTAGAGAAAATGTTGAATAATGTATGATCTTAGAAGTTTTCCTGGTTTTATTAATAATATAATTTGTAATAGTAATACTAAAAAAATACATATGTTGCTTTAAATCTCTCAGTGTGTTATCAGTGTAAACATGAATTATAGTCCATCAGCATGAAAATCGCTGAACACTGGTAGTTCGACCCGAGGTTCGAATTTCAACCGAATGGGCGGATTGCATGGATGTTTTCGTAGTTTTCGCCTATGTATACGAGCCAGTTTCCCTTAGAAAGTCCTCCACGAAGGCATCCATCACCTTAGGCAGATAACCCTAGTGTGCTTTGCCATAATTAAATACACAGCGTTCGTGGTTTTCCCCATGTATAACGTGTATACGAGCCAATTTCCCTTAAAAAGTCCTCCACAAAAGACTTCTTTTTTGCAGATAGTCCTCGTGTGCTTTGCAATAATTAAATAAATCAAACCAAACCATGAAATATATATTTTTGGCGGCTGCAATTGCAGCAGTTCTTAAAATTGACTTGAAAATTCTAAATTAAATCGACTATAAGTCCTTAAATCGAGTTAGTTCTCGTGCGGGCACTGAATATATATCAATAATGTTGCGTAATACATACATGATAAAGTAATGTAAAGGATAGCAGAAAAGACGATAGCAAGAAAGACTATAAAATAGTAATTACTAAAGCCAGTAGCATAACAAGTACTTGTTTAAAATATTGTTAACGTTTGTATGATTACAATAATTTATATAAGATGTTTGTAGCTCGTAAAGAATTGCTTCAAGGTATATTTTTAACTTTAGAAACATCGACTACTAATTACACTAATATAAATTTTTATAACAATTAATAATAACATATATGCATCATAAATTATAATGTTGAAAAATAAAACTATGAATTATTAGTCCAAAGGGATTTCAGTCCCGAAGGGCTATTGCTTTCGTTTTGGCATTTTGCGTCTGACTCATAAACGTCGGTTCACTTTTCAAACTGTTGCCACAAAATGTTAGAGTCCTGCATTATATTTGAAGAAATTAAAAAATGAAAAATCTGCATAAATGATTGTCTATTTCTCGCATTGTGATAAAACAATGGTACATAGAGCCATCGAATTTTGAATGACGAAATCATACTGCGAATATAGGCATCTGAAATCCCAAATTTGGAATTTGTTTTATTATAGATTTTATATTTTGTAAAACTCTAACGAATTTTTGATTTACAAACTCAATGCTTTAAAAGCGAGAAATGGCAACGTTATATAGAAAAAACTCCAGCTCGCGAGACTGTGTATATCGGAAATTCTAAAGATATGCTTAATTTAACATTATTTTGCGATATTGCTCTTGAACTGAATTTTATGGTTTAAGTGCAAAGAACATGATATTTAATAAATAAAGGTAACACTCAAAACGTTAAAAAATGCCCCTTTGGACGTAATTTAAAATCTGAAAAATTTCAGATTTTTTTTTTTTAGTCCAAAGGGATTTGAATCCCGAAGGACTATTAGTTTCGTTTTGGCATTTTGCGTCGGACTCATAAATGTCGGTTCACTTTTCAAACTGTTGCCATAAAATGTTAGAGTCCTGCATTATATTTGAAGAAATTAAATAATGAAAATCTGCGTAAATGTATGTATATTTCTCACATTGTCATAAAATAACGGTACATAGAGTCATCGAATTTTGAATAACGTAATCCTCCAACGAATATGAGCATGTGGAAGACCAAATTTGAAATTTGAAATTTTTTTATGGTCGATTTCCTATTTTTTAAAACTTTGACGAATTTTTGATTAACAAACTCAAGGATTTCAAAGCGAGCAATGGCAACGTTGTGCAGAAAAAAACATTTTTATCTCCAGCGCGCGAGTCTCTGTATCGGAAATTCTAAAGATATGCTCGTTTTAAAACTATTTTGCGATATTGCTGTTGCACTGGATCTTATGGTTTAAGTGCGAGGAACATGATATTTAATAAAAAAAGGTAACACACAAAATGTTAAAAAACGCCCCTTTGGACGTAATTTAAAATCTGAAACATTTCAGTTTTTTTTTTTTTTAAAGTATATATCTTTTAAATAGCTGTTTATTTACCAGTGTACCATTTTAATACGAAAGTTAACTGAAAGATCGTATGCTGTTTGGAATCGTACATTTCTGAGAACTGGCGATTTGCCAAGCGGTATGGATGATAAATTAACCCTTTTACAGAGAAGTCGCCCATATCGTCCGTGCATTCAGACATGGGTAAGTCGACCGAAAGTCTGCGCGCTTTTTCTACCTGGTGCTTTCCTCCTATCACATTAGTGCATGGCTCATTGGTTTGGGGAGTGGTTAAATGACATGCCAATCATTTTTCTGATGCGACGTAAACTGCTCTTTTACTTCAATGAATTTTTGCTCTCTCCTTTGTTCAGAGTCAACGTCTAGTTATTGATGTTCGCAATCCTGTTCCAAGAAAAAACTCCACACAGTGGATGAAACCGCACAAAGATCCTTAAGAGAGAAGTAATCACTTCACTTAAGTAGGGTATTGTTAATGCTATAGCCTTCTAGTTGGAAATCCACTCGAAGAAGAATTCGTATACGCGGGCGTTTCAGATGTTTGAAAGGAACAGATTTTAGTCGTCATTGATGCGAAAAAGTTAAAAAATTATCACGCGTGGAGTAGTAGCATTTTGCAAAAATTGTGAGGTCGCATTAATGAAAAATCCCTTTATAGTGCAACATAATCTTAATTTAACAATTTCTAAATTGTACATGCGTCTGGACGTTCAAACTGACCCTATTTTCAATAATATAGTATATCTATATGAAGAATTTAGTCATATTTGATAGATGACAAATAATAATTTTTATGTTTCCTGTTTAGTTTACATTTTGTATGCCCATTTGAAATTTTTAATTTGCAAAATATTTTGACTTTTGTACTTGAAAGACAATCAAGTCTACTATAAAAGAAGCATCAAAGTACAGCTTACATTTCAAATAGAATGTCATGTTTCTATCTTTAAAAGTATACCAATGGAGATTTACAAATATTTGCGTTAAAAGGGAAAGAAATAGAAAACCATAAATTTTGAGTCATATTTGTTTTTATAATGGCTGTTTCTGCATTATCGTAAGAACACGTAAATCTTTAGATTTAGATAAAAATGGACTCTAGCGTATAGAATAAAGCTGTTAAAATTCTTTTGTGAAAAATCGAATAAAATGAAACAAATATTCAGTCCCTCCACAGAAAGTTAATTCTTTTTTGATCGCAGAACAATATCGTCTTCGTCATAATCCTTCTGGAACTATAACGATTTGTTTATAAATAAATCAGAGTATATTTTATAACAAAATTGAAATTTATTGGATATTCCTTAACTTGCGACATTCTGAAAGATGCATTCTTTACTTATTTTTAGGTATTTATTTGTTTCATACTTCAATGTATTAATGTATTGAAAAATACATGAATTCTTCCCTCCCCCCCGAAGAATCACTACAAATGAAAGGAAGATTTCAATTAATTTTATCTTTGGGAGGGATTCAGGAATAGTTAAAGAAATTCATTTTAAAATAACGAAACAAGATTTATTTTCCTACCACTTTTCACGTAATAGATCAATAAATATATAGCTTATGATTTTTCGAAAAATATTTGTTTTCCTAATTTGAATTTTGTTTTCCTATGAAATTTATAAACAACAAAAAATACAGTATATGTGTTCTTCGACCGTATTTATTTTTAACTGAAGGTTATTTTTCAGAGATTTAACAGAAGCTTTAGGATTTGGATTGGAGTTGAGGATTTTCTTGCTACTTTTTATGTAAAGCATGTTAACTCATAGGAATAAAGAGGATTTACTACGAAATGGATTTCATTTATGTTGGCTTTGCTATCAAGAAATAGTTTACTTTAAAATACTTTTTATGTACTACGTTACTTCTGTTGTTGCTTTTTTTGCTATTTGTAATAAAATGCTTCTCTAAAATGTACACGTATTTCTCTTTTATTTTTTAAAATTTATTATTAATTTAGCCCAAAAGAGACGTTAGTCCCGAAACGGCATTTTAGGTTGAATCACTATAAGCGGCTTATCACTTTTGAAGGTTTTGCCATCAAATATTATCGCCGCGTTGTAGAGACATTAGGATTTTTTGAAAGCAAGAGACTTGAAAAGTGAGCAAACGCCTTTGCAGAGAATCGAACCGCGGACCTCTGGAATCCGCGCCCAGCGTGCAGATCACCACACCATGAAGGCATGCCAAGAAGGCTGGAGAAATACCTTATACGCTCCCTTTTAAAGGGCGATTGATGTTTTTAGGGGACCCAATCGCTAAATCCTGGGTGGGAAGAATCATCATTCACCACCCTTTTAGTTCGAATGCCACTTATAGAGTCTTTCTCTTCTTTTCAACATAAACTAGAATAGACCCTATAGTGAGCTTGCGAATTCTCGCACAGGCGTGAAATAAGCTACTGACTCAGAGGAAGGGTAAGAAAAACCCTTTATTAATTCAAAATAGTTAACAGAAAGGCATGGTCTTCGTGCGTTACAAAAACACCGTCAACTTGCGATGAAAACTAAAACGTAGAATATAGTTTAAGTCAAACTTAAAATAAATAGTGCGAGATAACACTTAAATTACGCCTAAGAGGTAGACTCACAAGAAACCTAACCGGCGTGATGCTAAATCTGATAAGGCCAAAATGCTTACTAGCGTAACAGCGAAATAACAACGAAATGTGCGCTTGGCTAGCGAAACACGCTCTGAATAAACTGAGAGAGTCACCCGTTTAAATAAGCGCTTCACTTAACTTTAAATTTACATCCTGGCGAGAGAATGTGAGGGGAAATTGAGAAGTCTAGTACAGGTATTAAACTTAAAACAAATTTGTTATGTAAAATAAGGAAAACCCTACACCGTATTATTTTAAAGAAATTAAATAATGAAGAATTTGCTTGAGTGTATGCATGTTTTTCTCATTGTGAAAAAACAACGGTAATTAGAGACATAAAATTTTGAATAACCTAGTTCTCCACCCAAACATGGGCACCTGGAATTTTGAATTTCGAATTTGTTTTATTACACTTTTCATATTTTTGGAAACTTTAAAGTATTTTCGATTAAAAAACTCAACGATCTAAAAGCGAGAAGTGTACAGAGTTGTCTGACAGGATTCCAGCTTGCTGTGTCACTATTTCCGTGCTTTCCCCTGCCCATGAGCTGCTTGAAGTCTTAGAGCAATCTCTTTGGTGGTTTACAGAACCTGAAATTCCTGCCTGTTACATAGATTGATCTCTTCATTAAGCTTCCTAAATTCCAGGTCTAGTTCATTGGTCTCCATGATTTTCGGGTTCCCAAGCATATCTGCAAATTTAGTCTAGTTTGCAATTCTTGTAAACTGAGAAACTGGGCTAAGGTTCATGAATATGTCTCAAAGGCAAAAGAAGTTGTGGTTTGAAGAAAGTAAACTGTGCGATTCTACATAGTAGGACTAAGGGATATTGTTCAGCATGAAGAAATGAATGATACTGGTGCTACATTTCTGAGTACATACGCTTGTCCTGTGCTATGATAGTATATTCTAAGAATTTTGGGTAAAGTTGACTAGAGGAATTCGATGGACTTTATTAGTTTCATTATTTCAGTATCGTGTTTTGTATTTCATTCCTTTCTATTGTAAATGTCTTCCTATTATTGTAAAAGGATTCAGATGTTCCTATAAGTTCTATGGGGGTCAGGAATATAGATATTGAGATACATTAACACGATGAACAAGTATTAATTTAGAAGTCAAACAACAAAAATCAGCGTTATATTTTCAAATGTTAACCGTGTGAACATTTGAAAATATAACGCTGATTTTTGTTGTTTGACTTCTAAATTAATATAGGTATTGGTTCAGGTGATGTGTTTATCATCCTTAATGGGAAAGATTATTGTGATTTCAAATGATAATGAATGCGTGTTATTCCATTAATTATTGTAGTTTTTTACATATGTTAGGGTTCCGTCACTTCACCCTATAAGTTTGTCAGTTCTGTATGTCATATAATGAAAAGTAAGACCCTGAAGACCGGCTTAACATGTATCTCTTGTATAAAGGTCATGTCTGGGTTGAGGTCACCGATAAAGCTGATATACGTAGGTAAGTTGAAAAATAAGTTTCCCCTGTCGACTGTGGTCAGAGTTGTGTATGAAAGTCAAAAAATAGAATGAGACATTAAAGATATGACATACCTTTATTTTATTATTCTCGTACGAGTACGTTGAGACATTTGTCATATCGCTTGATAAGCTTCAAAAAGTCCTTCAAGAAAAATTCACGCTTTGCATATGGAAGAAGCGTTGAACGTCTATGGGCGAAAGGCAACACAGCAGGAAAACGCGCAAGTCACCGATACACCATTGGGTAGAGGTCGCTGCAAATCAAGCAGATGGCGCTGTTGCAGTGCCTGCGCAAAGCGGAGACCAGCCTCTCATTTGAGCCCCGGTAGGTATGGAGAGAAGGTGCGTTTTGAATTCGTGGTCAAAGGAGGAAGTGATAGCGGTTATCCGCTATGAATGGGCACGTGGAGTATCAGGAACAGAAATTCATAACCGCCTCGTGGAAGTCTATGGGCCAGGTGTGATGTCGAAGCAAATGGTGCGGAGATGGTGTCGCACATTCAGTGATGGACGTCAGCAAGTGGAGGACATACCGAGAGCTGGACGGACGCGCACGGCCACTACAGATGCAAATGTCAGGAAGGTGGATGACATGATTAGAGCGAACCGGCGTATCACCATCGGTGAAGTAGCGGAAGAACTTGGAATCTCACATGAGCGAGCTCAAAACATCATCCACGACATTCTTCGATACAAAAAAGTGTCAGCACGATGGGTGCCCCGACAATTGACCTCGACACACAAGGAACAATGCATGGAGGTCAGCCTGGAACATCTCGTGCGTTCCATGAAGATGGCAATGACTTTCTGTTTCGGATTGTGACGGGGGATGAAACGTGGGTCCACCATTTCACGCCAGAATTGAAGGCCGCATCTATGGAGTGGAAACATCCGTCATCACCTGTCCGAAAGAAGTTCAAGACTACTCCCTCTGCAGGTAAAGTGTGCTCCTCACAGTTTTCTGGAGTTTTGTTGCTGGACTTTTTGGAGGTTGGAACCATCAATGCTACGCGCTACTGTGACACCCTGTCGAAATTGAAAGAGGCGATTCGGAAAAAGCGGCCTGGCCTTCTCACATCTGGCGTTCTGCTGTTGGATGACAATGCCAGACCACATTCGGCGACGGCAACGCAAAACCATATTGCAACTCTTGGCTGGGAGCGCCTACACTATCCGCCATACAGTCCTGATCTCGCACCAAGCGACTTCCATCTGTTTCCGGCTTTGAAGAAAAATCTCGGGGGAAGGCGCTTTGGAAGCAATACTGAAGTAAAACAAGCCGTTCAACGCTTCTTCCATATGCAAAGCCCTGATTTTTTCCTGGAGGGCTTTTTGAAGCTTATCAAGCGATATGACAAATGTCTCAATGTACTTGGTACCTATGTGGAAAAATAAAGGTATGTCATATCTTTAATGTCTCATTCTATTTTTTGACTTTCATACACAACTCTGACCACAGTCGACAGGGGAAACTTATTTTTCAACTTACCCTCGTATTTGTCGTTTTTGTTTTTTCAGAAAGTCCATTTGCATTCCAAGACAAGATGATTAGGATGATTAGTGTTGTTATGAATACAGAAACTAGTTATGTTTTAAGATTTTGCTACAGCTTTTCTTGTAATGCCAAATTTTTCTGTTTGGCTTGTTTGTGATCCAAGTTTTTCATACCATCTGTTATCGGATCGGACGGTTGGGGGTTTCTGAAATACATAGCGGGATGTCCTTGGATAGATTGTTTGTTCAAGTCACCTGCTGTAATTGTCACCAGGATGGGCTGGAAAGTCCACTAAGTTGGGAATTGGTTGAGAGTTTTTAGAGTAGCCTATAGGTTTATTTTCTGGGTGTGAAGACGGTTTAAATACCTTTTGTGGAAAACTCTTTCTCGGGTTTAAGGACATTCAAAATATTTTGCGGGATGTAACCCATGACATAAGGCACATTTAGGTAGATTTGCATGATCTACATCGCAATCATTGGGAAAATGCATGCAGAGAAGAGAGCGTAAGAGAAGCTATAATGAAACTCCAAGCATCTAGAGCAGTGGGGGGGGGGAACGTTTTTGGGGCCGCGTGCCCAAAACCATTTTTTGAGGGGGGGGGAGCATGCCCAAAACCTCTTTGATTAAATCCTCATTGGAGAGCGGTTTACAAACTAGACACGCATGTTTTGTCAGGCACAGTGAAATTTGAAAGCTGGCCGTTGTTAGATGGTTTGTTTTAGAAAAATAATTGCGAAAACCAACTTTCTGATAATTCTAATTCCTCAATTTCTCTTCAAAAAACATTTTCCGTTCAACTTCATCAAGTTCGGCAACAATCTTATGGTTAGTGTTCTTATGGTAACTGCCGTCTGACACTAGATGTGCGACACACAACACTTCTCCCGCACAGAATGCATATTGCTTTCTTATTGTATTCAATAACTCCAAATGATTCTGTTCAGGTCTCTTGAAATGATCTTCCACTGTCAATGTTGAATTTTGCCTTTTTTGATGGACTAATTTGCGAGGATTAAAGACATGGAGTATAAGAAAAGCACAACATTTAAAAACGAAGCATTAAATATAAATCAATCATAGGTGGTTTAACTTTGACGTTTGCTTTGCCATGTAACAAGTAATATGATTGACTCAAACAATTGAAACGCCATAAATGGGGTCAATAAATATGTATATCATTTCTATTCATTTCTATGGCGATATATGGAAATCTTATATCTAGGCGTAGGCCTATGCCAGTAGCATTATGCGATAAGTAAGTGAAACGTTCAAGAACAGACTTAAATTACATAGTATCATTTTGCTGTGATTATTGATTAAGGAA